GAGCCAAACTTATGTTTTTAATCATCTTGCTAGGCTCTTTGTTCTTGATTTGAAATATAAATATGGCTAAAAGTCCCCAACAATAGCCATGCCACAGCTTTAATATTAGGCTGCCCTAAAATTCTTTCTGCCAGATTAATTATTCTGCCACCCTTCATCTCAGTCTTGGGAAAGGTCTCTGGACACAAGCAAAATGTATCAAACATTATAGGGACAGTCAGAATGAAATTACAAAAGTGGGAGATTGTAGATAACATTGCCACAGTTCAACCATTGAACACTGGCTTGGGCGCTATCATAACCTTAGAAACAGAGGGAAAAAATGGAATTAGAAGTAACTTGGAGCTACATGAATAAACTGTAGAGAAAAATCAGGAAACCATCTGAATGAATGGTTCAAAAAGCCATATATCATTATCTGTTCTCTAAAATCAGCCTTTCAGTTGTCCTATTAAATCTATAACTAAATATACTGCTTATGGCCAAATATCATTAAATCATTGCTTTTTCTTCTGACTAATCATATTTTGTCAAGTTTGCATACTTTTGGAAATAGTTGATTTGTAATCATTATCTTCTATTAAAGTGAACATCTATGAATAATTTCTACCTTTATTTTTTTCCCCCCCGGGTGATGGACCATTCCATGTGTAGTGTGAAACCTACCAGATCTTATTTCCTGTGTAGCAAACAGCTTTACAATGCTGGTTTCCTTAATAATTCAGATTTTGTTCTAGCTGCACGTTTAACCAGATGTCCCAGGGAGTTGTGGAGCACATGTATAATGTTTTCAGCAGGATGTTGGAAGAAGTCTGTCATAAGAATATATATTTTTTCACGTAGGTACAGGTATGAGAAATATTCGCCTTTCTCCAATTCTACTCTTAGCATCTCTCCATGCCTCCTAGAGTCGAGCGGTCAGTTACCAGTTTCAGTTGTGGAAAAATCACAATCCAAAATAAGTAATGGTAAGACAATTTTTTTTTCTTAGTTTGACTTCACTAAGTGAACTATTTTTGCCATATATTTATATGATCATATGTTTTTGTATGGGCTGAAAAGATTTGTTCTTAAAAGCTTTACTATTTACATGGATATTTATTTATTTTTTTCTGTTATTAATTTTTTAAATTTTTTTCCATAATTTTATTGATAAACAAATAGCAATGAGACACTTTCAAATCAAATTGGTAGGACAGTTTTGATAATTAACACATTGCATACATTCCTCACAGTGGTTAATTACTGTACAAGATGCGGACATGATATCTTATCTACAAACACCATTAGCACAAATCACTCTATTCATTAAGAGAATGTAACTATATATCTATCCTAACCACTTTGAATACACAGATACAATATGGACATT